CACATTGTGCTTAGGAACAAACGATGATACCGACAGGCAGCTGCGTAGGGTGACCAGATGTCCCAATTTTATAGGGACAATCCTGATTTTGGGGTCTTTTTCTTATATAGGCTCCTATTACCCCCATCCCCTGTCCCGATTTTTCACACTTGCTGTCTGGTCACCCTACCGAGCCCTGTGTCACCACGGGCTCCAAACGCATGGCCTGAGAGTGCCCCGGTGAGAACAAGTCAGGAAATGCCATGTGCTCCCCTCTGCCTTCTCTCTGGATCATTGCTTAGGAGGAGAGTTTATTCCCTAACCTATGGGGTGGGCAGGGGGGGTTGATTCCCCAAAACCAATGGAGGAGATGCCACCGGGTCTGCAGGGAGGGGACACACTTAACCAAAGGGGACATTTCCCCTGCTTAGGGAGAGGACAATTTGGCCTCTCTGTGATAGAAGCCGCTTGTGAGATGCACTGGACAAATCCCTACCACAGTAAACCCCATTTCAGCATCCCCCTCTAGCACGACTCATGTCAACTGCATCTTTTATCAAGGAAGAACAAGCTGGTTTTTGGAAAGAGGCACCTGCAAATACATCCTCAGCCAGTTAATCACACATGCACTTTTGGCTTGATCAGTCCTCAGCCTTCAGTGCATCCCACGCTGCTGGAGTGTAACACGGCCCAATGTTATTTCACAGGCACCGCGGTCCAAACTCAGTGCTAGCATAAGCTGGCACGATTGCACCAAAGTCAACCTTGTGGCATCTGGCAGAGACAAAGCTGGATCCCTTTGCTCCTCAGATCTCTGCCCTTAAGTCCATGTCAGTAACAACTTGGCTCAAAGCCTCAAGCAATTCATCTATTTCCCCACCAAAGTGGTGATAACCTGTGAATGATGTGTGCATGCATCCATTCAAAAAGTTTTACATTGTACAAAGCCCTTGCACACACGACACACACACACACTGCCTGCACCACCACCGCCTTCTCCCCTTCCCACCCCCCGTTCAATAACCTCTGCATGCTTCAAATGCCCCTTGTTTAGCCCAATGCAGACACATCTAATATCTTCTTTTATTATCTCTCTAATCCAGGGTAAGCAATCACGTTTTGCAATGTGCACTTTGCATTTGCCACCAGTAAACAAAACTCCCACGCAAGTTCATTCAATGAGTTTCATTCATGGAATCAGCCGAACTTTCGAATGATTCCGAACATTTACTATGTCGATTTCATTTGTCCAGCGCTTTAAACTGTCATTTCCTCATAAGCCACTTTGTTAGCTTTAATGTGCAAAGGAAGAACAGCAACTAGAACTTCAAACCCACAGAGCCAAGTCAACCCTCACCAGCAGAAAGCAACAGGCGCTTCTTTTGTTAGTTTACTTTTATTATCACGCTCTGATGGGTTAACCCCCAAAAAACCTCTGGAGTTCAGATCATTGAGTCTATAAGGCTGATAAAATGCACATCTATGCATACACGCACACAATGGTGCCTACTTGGATTTAAGTGACATTCCCATTGCAGGGGAACACAGTAAATGTTACCAACAGCTCCCAATTCCATAGGGGGACACTACTAAAATCAGGCAATAAATTTACACTTGGCAGCAAAGGGAGCTAAACCCGCCCCTCTCTGCCTCACCAATGTGGGCAGAAGCCTTAGAGAATGACACTTAAGGGTTTTGTGCTCAATAAGGCACTAAAGAAGCCAATTTGTTTTTGACATTGCACTGAGAGTTCTCATCAAGGTCTAAATGCCCAGACTGTTTGTTGTTGTCATTTTTTCAAAAGGCGACACCATGCACAATCTTTTAGGAAAGGAATTTTTTGGAAAGGGGCACTCTGTTTTCTATGTCTAACTAAAGGGTACTTTACACGCCAAAGGAAAAACCCAGGTCTGCTTTTCTATTAATCAACACCTCTTAAAGGCAAAACCCTTGCTACTTGGCCTTCAATTTCAATGGCTCATGCTTCTTTCAAAGCGCACATTAAAGCAAAGCTATTTAACTGTTGGAACATTTTTAAAAACCTCACACAAATAAACAAAAGGAAAAAACCCCAGTTACAGTAGCACTAAGTGAAAGCAAGTATATTCAGGCTAGGACCTTTGTCAGCCCAAGTTCTCCCTATGCCTAGGTGCAGCATAGAAGACCACCCAGTGTTTGGGGAATCCTCCAGCACACAGAGGGGATAAATGGGGTTGGAGTTAACAATGAAGTTGCAGTCTGAGCTCTGAATTTCCTGGCTTTGGTGGGTTTAAGCTGGACCCCACACAATTACTTAAAGCAGTTGCTTGTAGGGAAGTAGCCTGCAGGCCAAATTTTCACTCCCAGGTGCTATGGGTGCATTTGTAATAAATCCCACACTTGGACAGGCAAATCAGGGAGAGAAACACCTAACCACCCTCCTGTATAAGCAGCTACCTGATCTGCAGTCACGGGGTCCTATCTGCATGCATAAGCATGGAAGTTCATGGGTAGCTTTGCGGGAGCAGCTCCTGGAAATTTAGCCTTTCTTGTTTCTTCCAGCAATTTAAGAACTTTTTTTAAAAAGGTGCAACAGCAAGTGAAGGTGGGGAAGTGTCCCCGTGACAGAATAAGGGGTCCAAGGAGCCTGGAAAAGCCAGGCAAGGGAACCATTAAAGGACCAATGACATTGTCATATCAGTCAGGGCCTATTCCCAAAGGCATCAAAAACACAACTTCCATTGAGTTCAGTGGTGCAAGATCCAGCCCCTACCCCTTGCATGCAATATATCTTTCAAGCTGCATGGTGATAAGAAATGTGCCCTACATCCTAATTCAGTGGGTTACACATGGGGCAATCCCAACCATTAAGTTGTTCTTTTAAAACACGGTATTTCCCAGGTATCCTACAACTAAGAGGACATGGATCCTTTACTCCCTCAAGTAGTCCTCAAATCACGCCGGTCATCCCATCCTCTCCAAGGAGTCTACTCATGGGAGCAAAGATTGCTGGATCAGGGTCACATGGAGCTCTGCACACATGTGATCTGTTATCACTGGATGTGTGTACAGCTTTGTTTATGTTTAGGACCCAGAATAAGTAGCACTTCCTTTTTAATTGCTCATTTGAGCAAAGAATTAAAGGACCCAAACCAAACAACTGGGTGGAATGGGAAGGGCATTGGTTATTGGAGGATATAACATTGGGCCTCAATGAGTTGAGCTAAGATTGAGCAGAGTTTTGTATAATAATCAACAGTACAGTAAATCATTCGCAAAATACACTACAGCTTTACAGCTAGCAGCGTGCGCTGTGGATGCATATTAGATAAATTACACATTGTACATTGCAATCGTCTGCTTCCATTTAATCTTTTATTCTTAGTGTACGTTCAGTGCCCACACATCAAATGCAGGGGGAGTGGAGCTCCAGTGTGAATCGCATATTACCAACTCAAAGGCAAAGTGGGGGAAAAATATTACTTGATTAAAAAAACAAAAACCTTAAGTTACTTGTCACACATGGCTCAGTTCCAGTGAGCCGCGCATCCTGCACGCCGGCCATCCCTCACTGGCTGCAGTTTGGGAAACAAAACTAAAATGGGCAACAACAAAATAGACAGATTTCAGCTACTCTGTGGATGCAAAATTTGCTTTAAAAATAAATGAAAGAAACTCAGTCCTCCTGTTGCTTTTATATTTAAAAAAAAATCTGTAGAAAACTCTGAACAAGTGACCCAAACACTTTGAATACCCTCTTACCTACAGAAAAGAAAAAGATCAGCCCAGGGAACGCTGTTCTGCCCCAAATCCTCTTCCTCCAGCTATGTTTTTTTTTTTTAAAGGGGCAAATTAAAGCCGGGAAAACCCGAAGTCTGGCCACCAGCCGCCCTTGTGCTGCTCACCGTCCCCTCCCTCTCCCCAGCAGCGCCAGGCTCTGCATGGCAAGTTGGAGGCAGGCGAGGGAGGGTGGGCGGCCTGGGTTTGTTTGCTGAATCGCCAGCCCCTGGAAAGCAGGGCTAGGAATTGCTGACAGCCCCTGAGCTGCAGCGGCGCTAGCGGGCGCCGCTCTAATCCGCGGCTCACACAAGCAGAAGGGTCAGCTAGAGCCAGCCTGCTGCTTTCAGACACCATTGTAACCCGGGAAACAAACCAGTGATTAGATCAGGAGGGGGTGGGCTCCTGATCAATAATGCAGCGTCCTGGGATAGGGGGGCTGGCTGCAGCCACCGTGCCACCGCCCCGTGTTGGAAACTGACATTTGCCATCCCATTTCCCCCTCCTGTTAATTTCACTCAAGGGGGGAGAGAAGGGGGGGGCAGGAAGGACAATTTCAATATTGCAAACAAAACTTTGCTCATTAAACAAACGCCCCGTACTCGCGGCCGCCACAACAACCCCCCTCCCCCTCATGCTCCCGGCAGCAACCCCAATAAAGCAGCAGAGATCTGGGACTTACATGACTCCGAACGCTACAGGACACACACACACACACACACAGGGGACTGGTCACTTTCTCCGGTGTCTTTCCAATCGCGGTGCGTGGGGTTTGCCCCACCCCGCAAAAAATACCCAAACCTGGAAGAATCGGGCCGGGGGAGTCGATTAGTTTCCCTTTGGGGGGGACTTTAAAAGGAAACTGCGGGAGGGTGGCTAACCCCCTCCCTTCCCGGGATGTCTCTGCTCCAGGGACCCCTGGTGCCAGCCGGGCTGGGGCGAACTCACGGGTCATCTCCCGTGGAGGATCCCATCCCCCCCCAAAATCCCCTTTTTTGTCTAGACCCAGTGATCTGAGACCAACCTTCTGCAGCACTTCTCCATCCCGGCGGAGGTAGGGACGAGGGGGGTTATGGATAAGGGGGTGGGTGGGAGCAAAGGGTTTGATCTGCCCCCTCTCCCCTGGGCCACTGATCAGCACCTGAACGGAAGGGAAATTACAGGGCAAACTTTTTCCCGAGACTTTTCCCCCAACTCTTCCGCCGCCCGTGAATGCATCTGCATATTTAGCGAGCACAGAGGCCTTTTCACTCTCATGCACCTACCGGAGGAAGAGCGATCCGGAGCAAGAGCAGGAGAAGCAGCAGCGGCAGGGGGAGGAAGGAGGAGAAGGGAGGGATGGGAGCTGCAGCCACCACCACTCCGGGCAGTGCGTGCGTGTGTGTGTGTGTGTGTGTGTGCGCGCGCGAGCTGTCGCCGGCCGGATTAAAGAGCCAAATCCAGAGCATGCAAAAAAATTAACACCTGCCAAAAAATTATCTCTTTACAAGGCGAGGGGTGTTTGTCTCCCTCCCCTCCTGTGGGGCGGGGGGGGGGTAAATCAGCCGGGCGGGGGGGCTGCAGCGCCCAGATCAAAGGGTCGCGTGCATGGGAGGGGGGGCTCACAATGGGAAATTGAAAAAAAAAGAGAAGTGGAGGGGGGGGGTCTCTCCTCCAAGCCAGCGTCTCCTTCCCCGCAAACCCACCTCTACATCCCTCCTCGCTCTGGAAGTACATAGACAGCCGAACCACATTGCATAGGGCTGCTGCTGCTGCTGCCCGGGGGCTGCCGGCAAAACCCGGACCGGACCGACTCGCCGGCTGCCCACTGCCGCCTTCTCTGCCATCTCCGCCTCGTTCCCTTGGCCCTGCTCTTTTGCATGCTGAGCGCAGGCTTCTCCCCCCGCCCTCCCCAGCAGCCAGCCCCAAAGTGAGCCGCAGCCCGGGGCAACTCCTCGAGCCGAGCAGGCAGCGCCAGGCCGCCTCCAAAGGAGGTTTTTATGCAATCGCTTTGATTATTATCTGATTAACTTGCACCGTGGCTGCTGCCGCTGCATTCCCACTGGCCACATCCCAGTCCCCAAGCCCTCTGCCATCCCTCGCTGTCTCAAGCACTCCCGCTTTTTGCTCTCTCCTTGTGTTCCGCCGCCACCGCCACCACCTTGAAAAGCAACTTTTAGTTTATCACCGTCCTTCCCCTTTAAACAAAATAAAAACAAACCCCAAAGTGAGATGCGAAACTTCGCCCAGCCGGCGTTCAGCAAGCCGGCCTGGGGAGGTGCTAGCCCAGCCGGGCTTGCTTCTCAGGGGGGATGTGATTTTTATTTGGGGCTTTGTTAAACTGGCCCGTTCGGAACTTTCCCCGGCGGGGGGTTTGGTATAATACTGAGGTTCACGCTGCTTCCTGGTGAAAACACGCTCCCTGTGCCTCGCCACAAAATATTTCCAGCACATGGGCTGATTCATTGTGGAGCCTTTTTTTATGAATAAAGGTTTTCCCAGTGGTTCCTTTAGAGGTGTAAATACTTCAACAGACCACTTGTGGTACTCGTGCTAAACTTTGAAGATCCTTTTTATTATATTATTATTATTATTATAACATGTAGATACAGATGTGTGAGAGAGAGCTTGATGGTTTAGCTTTCCTCAATCGATTCAGATTGCTTGGACTCAGAACGCAGCTTTCTGTGGCATTTCAAGCTATTCTGAGCTGAAATTGTTCATACTAGTCTCTGTACATTATCAATACATGACATAGGCCCTCAGTATAATGCAATGTGTTCATGTATTGTATTTTTATTACATACCTTGGGCACATATATATATATATGCCACCTATATATAAATGCCTATATAGCTTCTGCTTACTGCTATAAGGCCCCCTTCAAAGGGATATATTACTTGGGGGATTGATTGAGAGTGAAGATTACAGCAAAAATTCAGAAATTGACTATCAAGATATAATTAAGCTGCAGGTCCCTTTTGTTTTCTTTCAACACATGATGCAGACCTTCATCCTTATACACATTACCCCGCTGGCCAGGGGATGTGTTATTGCATTCTTTAATAATGTATTTTTGTATCACTTGTCTCAGGCTGTTTACCGTCTGATAAAGTTTGGGTTTAGCTCACTGCATGACGTGACCTTCTTAGTAACAGAACTCCAGGACAAATAGTGGGAGCTGTCTCAGATAATAATTAATTAATAATAGGATCATGTAATAATACTAAGCACATCTATAGCACTCTCAAAGCACTGTGCAAACCCGGGCAGGTGCTATTAACCCACACACTGACCATGATGTTTTTTCCTCAGTTCTTACAGTCCTTCATGTTCACTTTAAAAAATCATATCCGCTGAGCATCTCCTGCAATCCCGGAGCATGTGAGGGACCCACGCAGCACCCTGTTGATTTCCATGGGGCTCTGCTAGGGAGCAAGGGTCATCTTCCCCCACCCCCACAATGCAACTCTACTTGCAACCTCCATCAATTTCAAGCGGACCAGGACCTGGCCCAGTGCTACTACTGTGCTCAGAGTGCTGGACAAGATAGACAGATGGCAGTCAGCTAATCATAAAACTAGGTCTTAGCTTATAAACCACTTGGACTAGGGCAGGGGTCGGCAATCTTTCAGAAGTGGTGTGCCGAGTCTTCATTTATTCACTCAAATTTAAGGTTTCATGTGCCAGTAATACATTTTAACATTTTTAGAAGGCCTCTTTCTATAAGTCTATAATATATAACTAAACTATTGTTGTATGTAAAGTAAATAAGGTTTTTAAAATGTTTAAGAAGCTTCATTTAAAATTAAATTAAAACGCAGAGCCCGCTGGACTGGTGGCCAGGACCCAGGCAATATGAGTGCCACTGAAAATCAGCTCGCGTGCTGCCTTTGGCACGCGTGCCATAGGTTGCCTACCCCTGGACTAGGGTGTGTCTCTCTCCATGATACCATACTGAGCTGCTATCTCAACTCAATAAATGTTATTACTGCTTTTCTTTCTGTGTCGCTTATGCGTCACATGTTTTGTTTCGTGTTTGTGTGGCTGATGCCTTAAAAGCCAGGGACTGGGCCCCTGAAAGCTCTGGGTAGAATAAGCTAAAATGTCTCCACTCCCATATCCTCTACAGCATCCAAGTTATCCTCCTTTATATTTCAGGTCGAAAGGCCATGTGACCTCCACTCAGCAAATGTGTAGCTGGTCAATATTTGCTGGTGCCAGAAGCTATTGACTAGCTAGGAGAGCAATAATGCAAAACTCTTTTCAGTCACATGATGCTGTGTCAGCCAATTGTATGACAGTTGGTAAGCAAAGGGTGTCATAAGTAAGTATGTCACACATAATTTGGGGATCATGTAAGTATGACTGGTCTGTGAACTTCTTACTGAAACCTTCCAGCAGATACGTGAAGAAAACAGGAAGGTGATATTTCTGGGTCTTGCAATACAATCTCCGATTTGGTCTGTGATCTCAAATAGACTCAGGACTCAATTCTGCAAATGTACTCACGTTGGCTAGCAGTTGCTCATCCATTTACTTTACATGTCCATTTAAGGAGTGGGTACCTCCTCTAGCATTGCAGGAGGGACAGCCAATGTCTGCTATAGGTAAGGCTCCCCACCCTCCATTTCTTATAACTTCTTTGGGGGCTGAAGCATTATGTGGATTCCAATTCCTTATTAATTTAAACAGATTATTTATACAAACCATGTGTGTGACCCACACCTACCATAACAGGACCCTGATCCCTGATCGCTACTACACTACAAATTTCCCCATTGCACACCTGGCCAGATGTATTGCAGGGGACAGGGAGCTGGGGGTTGTCTTCCCCTGAAGCATCAGGGATTAGCCACAGCTGGAGACAGACCACTGGATAGGGTGGACTAATGCTCTGAAGTGGTACAGAGAATCCTTTCCAGATGCCTGACTGGTGGATCTTGCTCACATACTCAGGATCCAACTAATTGCCAGATGTGCAGGCTGGCAGGAATTTTCTCCCCAGTCTGATTGGAGGAACCTTGGAGATTTGCTGCCTGCCTGTGCAGCTTGGGGTGTGGATCACCTGCTGGGATCATCCGGGCATCTCTCACCTAATCAATTCCCTGCCATGGCAGCAGCCTCAGACATTGGTGGCCCCTCTTTTCCCCTCTTCTCTGCCTAGGTACCTATAGTCTCCTGAGGATGACATGCTTTAGTCTCACTCAAGTTATTGGGCTCAATATAAGTGTAACTGGGTAAATATTTCAGGCCTGGGTTTTACAGGAAGTCAGACTAGATCTAAAAGTCTCTTTCCCCTTAAACTCTATGAAGCTATGGAATACGGGGGATATTTTCAAAGGTACAACCAGGAGCTAAGGCACCCGACTCCCACTGACTTTCAAGGAGAGTTGGGTGTCTACCTGGCCCATTGTGCATTTGAAAATCTCCACCTCAATCAAGACAAAATAATACATCATTTCTATGCAAGGCCCATTACAAACACCTCAGGGGATTAGATCCCTACCTCGGACACTGGAAAGTTATACTCAGTTGAAATATTTCTTTCAACCCAATTTTACTAGCTTTCTCATCAAAATGGAAGACTTACACAGGACAGCTACAGTTTTGAGTACGTGTTTCAGGTTTTCCACTGAAAATAAATCTGAAACTGATTATTTTTTTAGTTTCATCAACTGAAAACAAAACAATCTCCACTAAAACAAAAGAAAAAGTGGTTTCTGGCAGAAATTTTTTAGCTTTATGTTGCTGAAATTTGAAAAAAATATAACCTGTTTTTAGGCTTTTGCTTTCTGATGAAAACCCAAAATGTTCTGAAGAAAAATGTTGAAGAAAAATGAAAAACTGTTTTCATTGGCTTTTTTTTTGGGGGGGGGGGGGGGAGGACACCAAAATAATGTCCCAACCAGCTCTACTTATAGTCACAAGTGCGACAAAAGTGCAGACAGTATGTGTATATTGTGGGGGAGGAGGGAGGATTGAAAATTGAAGTAATATGGGTAAGCTGTTTGTGTTTGGCACACATCTAGTTAATTCCAAGAGTTTTACATATATATCTGGTGGGAACGCAGTACTGGCTTCACTCTGCTCCTAGCGAAGTCAATGAGAGTTTTACGCCTGACTTCAATGGGAGCAGAGTTAGGCCAGCGCTAGGTGCTTTGAAAATGCCATCTTTATGAGGTAAGTTAAAAGGCTAAGGAACTGGAGTCTCAGAAGGAGCAATTTGCAGGCGGCTAGGCCAACAGGAACAGCTGTGTCTGCGAGGAAAGGCAGGTTGAAGCACCACTGCTGCCCTCCACTGGGAGGCATTTTCAAACATTTAAGATAACATTTTCAAAAACACCTAAGTGATCTAGGAACCCAAGTCCCATTCTCAGAAGGGGCTTAGAAATCAATGGGAAGTTAGGGGCCTGCTTTTAAAATCCCACAGAGCACCTATCTGCATCTTCAGGCACTTGCATCCCTATACAACCCTGGTCCTAACTCACTCGCACGTTTTTGAAAATGTTACAAACAAAACCAAAGGCTGCTTTGGAAGTTAGGCTTATGCAGCCTGCACAAAAAATCACACAAAACCAGTGGGCAAGCCAACTCCTAAGCCTCATTAT